GCGGTGCTTGACTGGACTCATACATACCGAGGAATGCTTGCTTGGCTGATTGGACTCATACATACAGAGGGATGCTTGATTGGTTGATTTAACTCATACATACAGAGGGCTGCTTGATTTGTTGATTGAACCCATACATACCGAGGGCTGCTTGACCGGACTCATACATACAGGGGGATGCTTGATTTGTTGATTTAACTCATACATACAAATGGCTGCTTGATTGATTGATTGGGCTCATCTATACAGAGGGCTGCTTGATTGGTTGATTTAACTCATACATACAGAGAGCTGCTTGTTTGGTTGATTGGACCCATATATTCAGAGGGCTGCTTGATTTGATGATTTGACTCATACATACAGATGGCTCCTTGGTTTGACTCATACATACAGAGGGCTGCTTTATTGGTTGATTTAACTGATACATACAGATGATTGATTCATTTGATTGATTTAACTCATACACACAGAGGGCTGCTTGATTAGACTTATACATACAGAGGACTACTTGATTGGTTGATTGGACTCATACATACAGAGGGCTGATCGATTGGTTGATATAACTCATGCATACCGAGCGGTGCTTGACTGGACTCATACATACCGAGGAATGCTTGCTTGGCTGGTTGGACTCATACATACAGAGGGATGCTTGATTGGTTGATTGAACTCATACATAAAGAGGGCTGCTCGACCGGACTCTTACATACAGGGGGATGCTTGATTTGTTGATTTAACTCATACATACAAATGGCTGCTTGATTGATTGATTGGGCTCATCTATACAGAGGGCTGCTTGATTGGTTGATTTAACTCATACATACAGAGGGCTGCTTGATTGGTTGATTGAACTCATGCATACCAAGGGGTGCTTGACTGGACTCATACATACCGAGGACTGCTTGCTTGATTGATTGGACTCATACATACAGAGGCATGCTTGATTGGTTGATTTAACTCATACATACGGAGGGCTGCTCAATTGGTTGATTGAACTCATACATACCGAGGGCTGCTTGACCGGACTCATACATACAGGGGGATGCTTCATTTGTTGATTTAACTCATACATACAAAGGGCTCCTTGATTGATTGATTGGGCTCACATATACAGAGGGCTCTTTGATTGGTTGATTGGACTCATAGAAACGGAGGGCTGCTTGATTTGTTCATTGGACTCATACATACAGAGAGATGCTTCATTGGTTGATTTACCTAATACATACCGAGGGCTGCTTGTTTGGTTGATTGGACTCATACATACATACAGAGAGATGCTTGATTGGTTGATTTACCTAATACATACCGAGGGCTGCTTGTTTGGTTGATTGGACTCATACATACATACAGAGGGCTGGTTGATTGGTTGATTGGACTCATACATATCGTACGTTGCTTGATTGGTTAATTTAACTCATCAATTCAGAGGGCTGCTTCATTGGACTCATACATACAGAGGGCTGCTTGATTGGTTGATTTAACTCATACATACCGAGGGCTTCTTCATTGGTTGATTTAACTCGTACATACAGAGGGCAGCTTGATTGGACTCATACATACATAGGATCGCTTGATTGGTTGATTGGACTCATACATACATAAGGCTGTTTCATAGGTTGTTTGGACTCATATATACAGAGGGATCCTTGAATGGTTGATTAGACTCAAACATACAGAGGGCTGCTTGATTGGTTGATTGGACTCATACATACAGAGGGCTGATCGATTAGTTGATTTAGCTCATTCATACAGAAGGCTGTTTGGTTGGTTCATTTAACTTATACATACAGAGGGCTGCTTGATTGGTTGGTTTACCTCATAGAAACAGAGAGCTGCTTGTTTGGTTGATTGGACCCATATATTCAGAGGGCTGCTTGATTTGATGATTTGACTCATACATATAGATGGCTCCTTGGTTTGACTCATACATACAGATGGCTGCTTTATTGGTTGAGTTAACTGATACATACAGATGATTGCTGGATTGGTTGATTTAACTCATACATACAGAGGGCTGCTTGATTAGACTTATACATACAGAGGACTACTTGATTGGTTGATTGGACTCATACATACAGAGGGCTGATCGATTGGTTGATATAACTCATGCATACCGAGCGGTGCTTGACTGGACTCATACACACCGAGGACAGCTTGCTTGGCTGGTTGCACTCATACATAAAGAGGGCTGCTTGATTGGTTGATTGAACTCATACATACCAAGGTCTGCTTGACCGGACTCATACATACAGGGGGATGCTTGATTTGTTCATTTAACTCATACATACAAATGGCTACTTGATTGATTGATTGGGCTCATCTATACAGAGGGCTGCTTGATTGGTTGATTTAACTCATACATACAGAGGGCTGCTTGATTGGTTGATTCAACTCATGCATACCAAAGGGTGATTGACTGGACTCATACATACCGATGACTGCTTGCTTGGTTGATTGGACTCATACATACAGAGGGATGCTTGATTGGTTGATTTAACTCATACATACAGAGGGCTGCTCAATTGGTTGATTGAACTCATACATACAGAGGGCTCCTTGATTGATTGATTGGGCTCACATATACAGAGGGCTGTTTGATTGGTTGATTGGACTCATAGAAACGGAGGGCTGCTTGATTTGTTCATTGGACTCATACATACAGAGAGATGCTTCATTGGTTGATTTACCTAATACATACCGAGGGCTGCTTGTTTGGTTGATTGGACTCATACATACATACAGAGGGATGCTTGTTTGGATGATTGGACTTATAGAAACAGAGGGATGCTTGATTGGTTGATTTAACTCATACATGCAGAGGGCTGCTTGATTGGTTGATTGAACTCATGCATACCAAGAGGTGCTTGACTGGACTCATACATACCGAGGACTGCTTGCTTGGCTGATTTGACTCATACATACAGAGGCTTACTTGATTGGTTGATTTGAGTCATACATACCGTATGTTGCCTGATTGGTTGATTGGACTCATACATACCGTACGTTGCTTGATTGGTTGATTGGACTTATACATACTGTACGTTGCTTGATTGGTTAATTTAACTCATCAATACAGAGGGCTGCTTGATTGGACTCCCACATACAGAAGACTGCTTGATAGGTTGAACTCATGCATACCAAGGGGTGCTTGACTGGACTCATACATACCGAGGACTGCTTGCTTGATTGATTGGACTCATACATACAGAGGCATGCTTGATTGGTTGATTTAACTCATACATACGGAGGGCTGCTCAATTGGTTGATTGAACTCATACATACCGAGGGCTGCTTGACCGGACTCATACATACAGGGGGATGCTTCATTTGTTGATTTAACTCATACATACAAAGGGCTCCTTGATTGATTGATTGGGCTCACATATACAGAGGGCTGTTTGATTGGTTGATTGGACTCATAGAAACGGAGGGCTGCTTGATTTGTTCATTGGACTCATACATACAGAGAGATGCTTCATTGGTTGATTTACCTAATACATAACTCATACATGCAGAGTAGATTGGATTCATACATACAGAGGGCTACTTGATTGGACTCATACATACAGAGGGCTGGTTGATTGGTTGGTTTAACTCATATATACAGAGGACTACTTGATTAGTTGATTGGACTCATACATACAGAGGGCTGCTTGATCGGTTGATTGGACTCATATATACAGAGGGCTGCTTGATTTGACTCACACATACAGAAGGCTGCTTGATTGGACTCATACATACAGAAGGCTGATTGATAGTTTGATTGGACTGATATATACAGAGGGCTGCTTGATTTGTTGATTTAACTCATACATACAGAGAGCTGCTTCATAGGTCGATTGGACTCCGACATACAGAAGGCTGCTTGATTTGATGATTGGACTCATATATACAGAGGGCTGCTTGATTTGACTCACACATACAAAAGGCTGCTTGATTGGACTCCTACATAAAGAGGGCTGCTTGACGCATACATACCGTACTTTGCTTGATTGGTTGATTAACCTGATACATATAGAGGGCTGATTCATTGGTGGATTGGACTCATACATACAGATGGCTACTTGATTGGTAGATTGGACTCATATATACAGAGGGCTATTGGTTGGACCCATACATACAGAGGGCTGCTTGACGCATACATACCGTACTTTGCTTGATTGGTTGATTTAACTCATACATACAGAGGGCTGCTCAATTGGTTGATTGAACTCATACATACAGAGGGCTCCTTGATTGATTGATTGGGCTCACATATACAGAGGGCTGTTTGATTGGTTGATTGGACTCATAGAAACGGAGGGCTGCTTGATTTGTTCATTGGACTCATACATACAGAGAGATGCTTCATTGGTTGATTTACCTAATACATACCGAGGGCTGCTTGTTTGGTTGATTGGACTCATACATACATACAGAGGGATGCTTGTTTGGATGATTGGACTTATAGAAACAGAGGGATGCTTGATTGGTTGATTTAACTCATACATGCAGAGGGCTGCTTGACTGGTTGATTGAACTCATGCATACCAAGAGGTGCTTGACTGGACTCATACATACCGAGGACTGCTTGCTTGGCTGATTTGACTCATACATACAGAGGCTTACTTGATTGGTTGATTTGAGTCATACATACCGTATGTTGCTTGATTGGTTGATTTAACTCATACATACAGAGGGCTGCTTGATTGGTTGATTGGACTCATACATACCGTACGTTGCTTGATTGGTTGATTGGACTTATACATACTGTACGTTGCTTGATTGGTTAATTTAACTCATCAATACAGAGGGCTGCTTGATTGGACTCCCACATACAGAAGACTGCTTGATAGGTTGAACTCATGCATACCAAGGGGTGCTTGACTGGACTCATACATACCGAGGACTGCTTGCTTGATTGATTGGACTCATACATACAGAGGCATGCTTGATTGGTTGATTTAACTCATACATACGGAGGGCTGCTCAATTGGTTGATTGAACTCATACATACCGAGGGCTGCTTGACCGGACTCATACATACTTACATTTAGTACTAACTACTAAATGACTTTATCGCGCGTATCCAAACCATGGGCTAATTACGTCTGTAACCCAATCACCCCCCGTAACTCAATCACCCCGGGCCACCACTCGGCAACGTGCCCGGGGAATAATCCCGCGCAAGCATCATCCCGCCTTTGTTAGTCGGTCATTCGCGAACAGCCCTTCCCCAAGTACACACGTGTGTCACTGTATCTAATCGCTTTTGCTTTGAATACCACCTATTTCAGCACTCGCCGTATCGCATTTATTCCGTTCTACTCCCGAACTTCACCCTCGGGACAATTTTACGCTTGTGGAATACCTCGACTCACCACCTCGACCTTCGTGATGCCTCCCAAGAGAAGAGCACCCGTCAACCACAAGCTTGTGAGGGGAGCCAAGCAGGCCAGGACAACCAGAAGACAAACCCCGGGAGTGCACATTATGCAGGAGGCAACAGCTGATGGTGAGTCTGCCAATTACGGAAATATCGAAGGGGGCAACAGAATTAACGTACAATCGGCGCAGTTTGTAAATGCCGCGCAGGCTGCCAACTCGGCTACCCAGGTAAACGAGCAACTGGAAAAAATACTCCAGTTGCAGGAACATTCAGCGCCCGGCCCGGTTAGCGCAAACCAACAGGTAAGGCTTGGTTTTAGTTCTCCCGCCATTTCGCCCAACATAGGGAGAATCCCCGATGCTTACAACGAGGTATTCATTTTCATCGTAGTGTCATAGCGACCGAATTGGGACAAATACTAATTACCCTGCAGCCATGATGTGTATATGTCTAGAATCTAGAAATGGATTAGTAAACAATCGAAGCGCTTATGTTAATACCACTTCATTACCCATAAGACACGATGCAATAAATACATCAGCGAACGTTAGATTAACAAATGAATTGCACATGCCAAGCTAGATCTGTGTATATGAGAAATATATTTGCAGTTTATGTTAAACAATTCATTTAATTGAACATCTGCCAGTTTTTAATACGAAGTTTTGAATAGAAGCTAATGTTTGGATTTGCTCTTCTTTACTCAAATGCGAATTTCTGCATAGCACTGCGTGTAAAAAATAACCTTGTTGGTAAAAATACATTTCATTTCGAAGAACTTAGTAGTTTGTACACACAAAAGTGTAAAGCATGCTCGGTATGATATCCACAGGAACAGGTTTTAGTATGCAATATGTCTATCATACTGATCTGCATTAAGATCGCTGCAGCCAAGCCTGATGCGAATCTGAATAAATTGACATGCTAATTGCCATTGTTAATCCAGAAGTATTGTACATGGACTGTCTGCCATCCTGAACGAGCCGTGCAACTTTGACATTGTTTATTTCCATAAATAACCACTCACAGTGGTACACGGACATAATTACAAGAAATAGATAACGGAGGCATTCACCAAATTGCATCCATCAATATGTTAGCGATCGTACATCTACATCAGTATGTCCTTACCTGAGAGTTGTGCATCGGGGTGCATGGCAGCATAGAATGGCAGTCGTTAGTTAGTTACTTGAATGGCAGTCCGGGGGTCCTGTCGCTATATACTTGTCCGACATGAAATGACAGGTTTTAGGGTTTGTGATTTAGTTAGTGTGGGTGATTTTAAGAGTGTTTGTTGAATGGGTGATAATTACTGCTGACGCTATAGATGTAAACATTCATATAATGATGGCAGCAAAGGACAGCCGAAGAGACAATGGCGTTGCCACCACGAGACATGTGTATGCCTTTTACGAGACGGCTAAGGGTATAATTCACTATGCCTATAAATGTTATGTAATCAGTCCTGTAGCGAATCCCTATCTGAGCAACAGACCGTGTCATTGCATGATTTATTGTGGGCACAACGGAATGGGACTGTAGGCACGTGTAGCTCTTAATCCCATATGAAAACACCAACTTTAGATTCGCGTGGTATCTCTGGTACCACATTCTTTTCTGTAACGCAGATGGCCTAGGTTATGATGATAGTTCGGATAACATTCGTAGAAAATATAGACTGAATGACACGACAGAGTGAGAGCCGTTTAACGCCGCTTTAAACAGCATGCCGGTTAGCGAGGCCGACGGTGACGCGGCTTGGCCAGCCAATCACATCGCAGGATACGGGGATTCCCTTTCCTTCCATGCAGACGGAAAAGACGCGCACGTCAAACAAACGGTGAGGAAAAAAATCTGGCGTGGTGAGTATGTCGACCTCGGCACAATCCTACCAGACACCGAGGGAAGTCACGAGGACGGTACGATTACCATGGCGTACGAATCCCACAGGTTAGGTAATTTTTAAACCAATAAAGCAGCAACCAAAGCGCCTGTCCCTGGCAAGCTGGACTTCAGCTTTCCACATTTTCATGTGTATATATGTTAGTAGGCACTCCGAGGTCCGCACAACCCAGGGGTTGCTGTCCTACATGGAAACCATAAGAACGGCGGCACTTCGATTCGGGGGGATGCCTGGTCAACCTACGACCAACAATTCCGACACAGAATGTCAAGGGACCCCTCACGACGCTGGGACAACATCGACGGGGAGTTGTGGCTGAAGTCCATGGTAACACAGCCGGTACTACAACCAGAATCAGGCGGACGGGGCGCAATGACACGCGTACAGGGGGACATCGCCAGTCAGGTATGCTGGGATTTCAATAAATTTGGCTGTAGCAGGGTCAACTGTAAGTACACTCACAAATGCGGTAAGTGTGGCAAACATTCCCATAGCTCTAGGACCTGCTTTCGAGGGAATGGGGTCCAACCGACCCCATACAAGCCCAATCAGCCTTTTGCCTAACAGAAAACCAGCCGTCAAGGCAGGTAAATTCAATGGCCCCTTCCCCCGTGGATCTCAATGAAATGGCACCCTGGTTACGCCAATATGCTAGGGTCAATTACAGAGATGCAAACTATTTATGGGTAGGTTTTAGCTCTGGCTTTAAGCTCGAGTTCCAGGGAAGCCGCACGGGTCGCCTGGCACGAAACTTGCGATCAGCCACGCACCAAGACACGGCAGGCTACGTGAAACAACACTACAAAACGAAGTCGACCTTGGCGACATTCAGTCGGCCTTTAGAATTATACCAGTCCACCCATCCGATTTCGAGCTGCTAGGCAACAGATTCGAAGGTGAGTTCTAGTTCGATAAATGCCTACCATTTGGCTGCTCCATATCTTGCGCCATATTTGAAACGTTTAGTACCTTCTTGCAATGGTGCATGCAATCGCATCTCCCAACGTGTCCGATCATGCATTACCTGGATGACTTCCTAACGGGGGGCACAGCAGGCACCAGCCACTGCTCAGACAACCTCAACGGATGCCTGAATACACTAGAACAGCTTGGGGTTCCTACTGCGCACGACAAGACGGTGGGCCCCACAACCAAACTGACATTCCTAGGGCTGGAAATCGACACCATTGCAATGCAGATCAGAATCCCAGAGTCCAAGATCAAGGAGGCAACAAGGGAAATCCAAGACATCCTGTCAACAGGTAACATCAAGGTCACAAAAAGGGCCCTTCAGTCCCTCATAGGCAAGCTTAACTTTATGTGCAGGGCTATACCAATGGCAAGGGCATTCAGCCGCAGGCTAACCGATCTGCTTAGCAAAGGTAAGCAACCATTTCACCACATTAGGATTACCAGCTGGGTCAAGGAAGACCTACAAATGTGGTTAACATTTCGTACGAGTTATAAAGGCATTTCAGTGTTTCAGGACCAACTATGGGTGGACAGCGATTTCCTCCAGCTGTTTTCAGACGCAGCGGGTGGCGCCAGCTTCGGGGCCTACATGCAGGGCAAATGGTTTAACGGCGCATGGCCACCCCAGTGGGTGACGGATGGAACTACACGGGACTTGACGCCACCTTGACATGGTGGCATCAATCCTTCGGAAATACAACCCCAGCTTCCTGACACCAAGATCATCGTATCCTCAATGCTGCACAGGCGCTACTGGCACGATGCCAGGGACCCACTAAAGATCGAGGGGATGCGGAAGAATATCAACCGTCGACTGGCCAACCGAGTCAAAGAGCTCGGCGGTACAATGGTGCCACATCCCCAGATCCTGGCATCAGACAAGACATGGTACGCCTGGGAGGGCGTCCACCTCAGTGACAAAGGACTGTGTGTGTTTACGGACAATTTATTGCATGCCCTGGCGCTTGTTATCTCCACAGGTTTGTGTTTCCTTTCAGGACATAGGCAAGCCGGGCAACAATGCTATCTCCGCGTATCGCGTGGCCGTGGGTGTGGGGTAGCACTCTGGTGCTTTGTGGCGGGGTTCTTGTGGGCTACACTGCTAGTAACAAATTAACTTGCTTCCAAATTAATACTCGTGCTTAAGGCTACCTGCTTTTCAGCGGGAACCTTTCCGGGGTTACCTGCTTCTCAGTGGGAACCTTGTCTTTCCCGACTTTTCAGCCGGGGAATCGTAAAATAACATACGTTGGGGCAAACAATTGCCACGTATATGGGCCCGGCGGCGGAAGTCGTCTTGTCAAGCGGTAGCTGACAGTTGGGTCCGCGGCGTGGGAGCCGCACAATGGTTTTGCTAATGGGGCCGGGCAGTGGGATCTGCTTTGGCCGGCTACCTGGGGCCGGGCAGCGGTAGTCTGACTTAGGCCAGCAGCGTGGAGCTGCTTTTGGCAGCGTGGGAGTTGCCAAGCAATGGTAGCGGTTAAATATGCTACCGTGGGGGCCGGACAGCGGAAGCAGTCTCAGGCCAGCAGCGCTAGCTGCAATCGCCGTTGGCCACGCGCGTGGCCATGGCAACGGTAGCATTTTGGTATACACAATTAGCAGCTAAGTAGCCCACTAGTACCTGCACACCCTCGGCCATTTAACCCAATCTCATCTTCTGTTTTTATTTTAGGCACGGGCATCCACGGCTCGGTGGCCCGTGCCTCTCCTTGGCATATCGCGGGATAATTACATTTAGTACTAACTACTAAATGACTTTATCGCGCGTATCCAAACCATGGGCTAATTACGTCTGTAACCCAATCACCCCCCGTAACTCAATCACCCCGGGCCACCACTCGGCAACGTGCCCGGGGAATAATCCCGCGCAAGCATCATCCCGCCTTTGTTAGTCGGTCATTCGCGAACAGCCCTTCCCCAAGTACACACGTGTGTCACTGTATCTAATCGCTTTCCCACCCACCCACCCAGCTTGCCATTCCTTTTCTTTCCTTTTCAGCCTGACGTGTCCTCTTCACCTGGAATGCTAATCACTTCTTTTCTTCAGCGTTTATTCTATTACAGGTACCAGCAGAGCGGATTGTATATATGTAAATAAACCTGTACATATGTAAAATAGGTTTTCAGGGCGCTTGTATATATGGACATGCTCCTAAACGATTCTGATATATGTAAATAAACATGACTTCCTTATAGCTGTATATATGTATATATGCAATACCTGTCTCAACAATAAACTATGTCGAGGTGTGCGGGGTTCTTGTGGGCTACACTGCTAGTAACAAATTAACTTGCTTCCAAATTAATACTCGTGCTTAAGGCTACCTGCTTTTCAGCGGGAACCTTTCCGGGGTTACCTGCTTCTCAGTGGGAACCTTGTCTTTCCCGACTTTTCAGCCGGGGAATCGTAAAATAACATACGTTGGGGCAAACAATTGCCACGTATATGGGCCCGGCGGCGGAAGTCGTCTTGTCAAGCGGTAGCTGACAGTTGGGTCCGCGGCGTGGGAGCCGCACAATGGTTTTGCTAATGGGGCCGGGCAGTGGGATCTGCTTTGGCCGGCTACCTGGGGCCGGGCAGCGGTAGTCTGACTTAGGCCAGCAGCGTGGAGCTGCTTTTGGCAGCGTGGGAGTTGCCAAGCAATGGTAGCGGTTAAATATGCTACCGTGGGGGCCGGACAGCGGAAGCAGTCTCAGGCCAGCAGCGCTAGCTGCAATCGCCGTTGGCCACGCGCGTGGCCATGGCAACGGTAGCATTTTGGTATACACAATTAGCAGCTAAGTAGCCCACTAGTACCTGCACACCCTCGGCCATTTAACCCAATCTCATCTTCTGTTTTTATTTTAGGCACGGGCATCCACGGCTCGGTGGCCCGTGCCTCTCCTTGGCATATCGCGGGATAAAGGGGGATGCTTCATTTGTTGATTTAACTCATACATACAAAGGGCTCCTTGATTGATTGATTGGGCTCACATATACAGAGGGCTGTTTGATTGGTTGATTGGACTCATAGAAACGGAGGGCTGCTTGATTTGTTCATTGGACTCATACATACAGAGAGATGCTTCATTGGTTGATTTACCTAATACATAACTCATACATGCAGAGTAGATTGGATTCATACATACAGAGGGCTACTTGATTGGACTCATACATACAGAGGGCTGGTTGATTGGTTGGTTTAACTCATATATACAGAGGGCTGCTTGATTTGACTCACACATACAGAAGGCTGCTTGATTGGACTCATACATACAGAGGGCTGCTTGATCGGTTGATTGGACTCATATATACAGAGGGCTGCTTGATTTGACTCACACATACAGAAGGCTGCTTGATTGGACTCATACATACAGAAGGCTGATTGATAGTTTGATTGGACTGATATATACAGAGGGCTGCTTGATTTGTTGATTTAACTCATACATACAGAGAGCTGCTTCATAGGTCGATTGGACTCCGACATACAGAAGGCTGCTTGATTTGATGATTGGACTCATATATACAGAGGGCTGCTTGATTTGACTCACACATACAAAAGGCTGCTTGATTGGACTCCTACATAAAGAGGGCTGCTTGACGCATACATACCGTACTTTGCTTGATTGGTTGATTAACCTGATACATATAGAGGGCTGATTCATTGGTGGATTGGACTCATACATACAGATGGCTACTTGATTGGTAGATTGGACTCATATATACAGAGGGCTATTGGTTGGACCCATACATACAGAGGGCTGCTTGACGCATACATACCGTACTTTGCGTGATTGGTTGGTTTAACTGATATATACAGAGGACTTCTTCATTGGTGGATTGGACTCATACATACAGAGGGCCGCTTGATCGGTTGATTTAACTCAAACATATAGAGGGCTGCTTGATTGGTTGATTTAAATCATACATACAGAGGGCTGCTTGATTTAACACATACATACCGTACTTTGCGTGATTGGTTTATTTAACTGATACATATACATATGTAGAGGGCTCCTTGATTGGTTGATTAGACTCATACGTACAGAGGACTGCTTGATGGGTTGATTGGACTCCCACATACAGATATCAGCTTGATAGGACTCATATATACAGAGGACTGCTTGATCGGTTGATTTAACTCATACATACAGAGGGATGCTTGATTGGTTGATTTGGTGCATACATACAGAGGACTGCTTGATGGGATAATTTAACTCATACATACAGAGGGCTGCTTGATTTGTTGATTGAACTCATACATAAAGAGGGCTGCTTGATTAGACTCATACATACTGAGGGCTGCTTGATTGGTTGTTTAACTCATACATTCAGAGGGCTGATTGATTGAACTCATACATACAGAGGGCTGCTTGATTGGTTGATTGAACTCATATATACAGAGGGCTGCTTGATTGGACTCATATATACAGAGGACTGCTTGATTGGTTGATTTAACTGATACATACAGAGGGCTGCTTGATTTGAATCACACATACAGAAGGCTGCTTGATTGGACTCATACATACAGAAGGCTGCTTGATAGGTTGATTGGACTCATACATACAGAGGGCTCCTTGATTGGTTGATTAGACTCATACATACAGAGGGCTCCTTGATTTGACTCATACATACAGAGGACTGCTTGATGGGTTGATTGGACTCCCACATACACAGATCAGCTTGATTAGACTCATGTATACAGTGCAATGCTGGATTCGTTGATTTGACGCATACATACAGAGGACTGCTTCATTGAACACATACATAGAGAGGACTGCTTGATCGATTGATTTAACTCATACATACAGAGGGATCCTTGATTGGTTGATTTGGTGCATAAATACAGAGGACTGCTTGATGGGATAACTTAACTCATACATACAGAGGGCTGCTTGATTTGTTGATTGAACTCATATATAAAGAGGGCTGCTTGATTAGACTCATACATACTGAGGGCTTCTAGATTGATTGTTTAACTCATACATTCAGAGGGCTGATTGATTGAACTCATACATACAGAGGGCTGCTTGATTGGACTCATACATACAGAGGGCTGCTTTATTGGTTGATATAACAGATACATACATCCAGTATTTAGTGTTGTCTAGTTTATGTATGTCGTTCTGCTCTGTGTAATACATCCAGTATTTAGTGTTGTCTAGTTTATGTATGTCGTTCTGCTCTGTGTAATACAAACATGTATCCAGCATTTAGTGTTGTTAAGTTTATGAATGTCAGTCTGCTCTGTGTAATACAAACATGTATCCAGCATTTTATGTTGTTTAGTTTATGTATGTCAGTCTGCTCTGTGTAATACAAACATGTACCCAGCTTTTTGTGTTGTTTAGTTTATGAATACCAGTCTGCTCTGTGTACTACAAACATGTATCCAGCATTTTGTGTTTGCTAGTTGATAAATGTCAGTCTGCTCTTTGTAATACAAACATGTATCCAGCATTTGATGTTGTTTACTTTATGTTTATCAGTCTGCTGTGTGGAATACAAACATGTATCCAGCATTTTGTGTTGTTTAGTTTATGTATGTTAGTCTGCTCTGTGTAATACAAATATGTATCCAGCATTTGATGTTGTTTACTTTATGTATGTCAGTCTGCTGTGTGTAATACAAACATGTATCCAGCATTTGATGGTGTTTACTTTATGTTTGTCAGTCTGCTGTGTGTAATACAAACAGGTATCCATCACTTTGTGTTGTTTAGTTTATGGATGTCAGTCTGCTCTTTGTAATGCAAACATGTATCCAGCATTCGATGTTTGCTAGTTTATGTAATTCAATCTGCTCTGTGTAATACAAACATGTATCCACCTTTTAGTGTTGTTTAGTTTATGTATGTTAGTCTGCTCTGTGTCATACAAACATGTATCCAGCATGTTGTGTTGTTTAGTTTATGAATGTCAGTCTCCTTTTGGTAATACAAATATGTATCCAGCATTGTGTGTTGTTTAGTTCATGAATGTCAGTCTGCTCTATGTAATACAAACATGTATCCAGCTTTTAGTGTTGTTTAGTTTATGTATGTGTAGCCTGCTCTGTGTAATACAAACATGTATCCAGAATTGATGTTTCCTAGTTTATGTATGTCAGTCTGCTCTGTGTAATACGAACATGTATCCAGCATTTGGTGTTGTTTAGTTTATGAATGTAACACTGCTCTGTGTAATACAAACATGTATCCAGCATTTGGTGTTTGCTAG